ATGCATCTCTTTGTTAGTCTACACCAATTTTGTTACTCAAAACCAGGCACCCAGCACTGTAAATGAGAACCTGAGAGAACTAGGAATTCATAGTGGGGAGGGGGGATTTCACAGGCTATTAAGATATAACAAGAGAAGATTTTTTTTATAGGTTTAAGGAATGAATAATGAGAAATGTCTGTTTTCCTAACTACCTCAAGAGAAAAGCTATGCTTTCTTTTTCCTTCCTGTGTGTGAGGTGGGAGAACTCTGAGATTACATCTACTGAATTTTATGTTTTGACTATGAGCTGTAGAAGTACATTTGAGTTGCTAGCCCATGAGAATGAGTTGATTTACAGAAGACATGAAAGTCCATATGAAAAAAGAGAAAAGTCCATGTTATTTCTATAACAAAAATACATTTTCCCATGGGCATTGTATGCTCCCGATAATGTAGTGATTGTATGTATGGAAGCAAACTTCTTTAGCCATTAAGATTTAGTGATCCCTGGGCCCTCCCTGGTGGCACAAAGGGTTAGGACACAGCACTGCAAGCTAGCTGCAGCAGCTTCAGTGTAAGCTTGATCCCCGCCCTGGAGGTGACCCACATGGCACAGCAGACCTCTTCTGACCTGCCCACTGCTCCCCTCAGCAGTGTACTTTGTCAGTCAGCCTATTCTGTGTCTGGTGAATCCTCTCACCCCCCTGCACCTCTGGCCTGTACCCCAGTTCTGTGTGCATAAATAAATAAGTCTTAAAAATAACAAACTCCCTGATCAATGTAGTAATCAAAGCAAAACTTGTGCAAAAAAAAAATATATGCAGCTGTTGCTTAATATGCCAATTTAGTTGCTCTGATAGAATAGTACAGGATGTACTGCTTGGGACAGAGTTAAACATATGTCCTTTGCTCCCAAAAAAACCTTGAAAACAATTTTGAACTCTTCACACACTCTAAGGCATCAGTTAGAAGAGAACTGACAGTGTTCATGCAGTCCTTTGAAAGACCTGAGTTGTGATCCACCACCCAAAAGTCCCAGTGGGATTCATGGCAAGTCTCTATTCTGAGAATAGCTCTTTCTGGAGGAGACCAGAGGGTATAAGAATAGCCCTGCTGCCTCAGGATTATGTTGTGAAAGGGAGTATGGGCATGATCCTTCCTGGTGGCCGAGGGGTTAAATCTCACTACTGTCACTGCTATGCCCTGAATTCAGTCCCTGGCCAGGGAGCTGACCCACGTGGTGCAGCAGACCTCTCCTGTCTCACCTGCTGCTCCCCTCAGCAGTGTATTTCAGTAGATTCATCCATTCTGATCCCCACTTTATCTCACCCCCTGCATCTCTGACCTTCAGTTCTTCTACAAAAAAAGGTGGGGGGGGGGAGTGTGGAGCCCTCCAGAAGTGGGGGGAGAGGAGGCTCCCCACATGATACTACCTCCCAATCCTGAAGGAATAAGCTTTTCAAGATAGTGGTTGACCAATATGGTGTCTTATCCTAGCTGCCTTTGGAAAGTATGGGATGAGCCAGCAGACAGGGAAGAGGGAAGTTATAAACCTTTTGCAGTAGTCTTAAAGATCTACCCATTCTTGGAGCAAGACCAGGCCCTTCTGTAAGTGTCCATGGCCTTGAGCCTGAGCACAGATAAGAGATACTTTGAATCTTGTAAGATGACCTCAATTTGGATACAGAAACAGACCAATATACCCGCTGTTCCCAGATCACCAGAAATGATCATCCCAATAGAGCTAAGTACCCAGTGAGGACAAGGTCCAGAGATGATGTTTTGCAGCCTTCAGCTATTCTAACAGTTTCCTGCAAGCCATTTTCCCAGCTCATCCCCCAAACCCAGGCAGGTCCCTGAAGGAGAAGTTTATGGATTTAACACTGCCTCAATTTTTATATTTTGTGATACCTTTTAGCCAGCACCCAACCATTTGTTCATTTAATTATTCATTGATTCCACAAAGGATTATTGAGGACCCACCTGCCCATGTGCTAAATCTTAAAGATGGTTTCTGCCTTCATGAAAATTATAGTCTAGAAAAGGAGAGCAGCAGACAATAAACAAATAAGAAACAAATCAACAGGATAATTAGATTATTATAAGGATTGTGAAGGAAGTAAACAGTGAATGAAAGCGTTAACCAGAGGTACTCTGCAGAGAAGATATGTAAACTGTAGCCCTCACAGAGGAGTAGCCATAGGGGGAAGCTGGAAAAAGAGTATCCCAGGCCAAGGCACATGGCGACAGAGAGGCAGGAAAGCACTGGCATATTCAAGAAGAGCGAGGCCGACTGGCTTGTGGGGAGGAGAGTGACCTGGGATGAGTTAGAAAGAAGGCTTGTGTCAGGTTGTATAGGGCATTGGAGGCTTGGATTTTATTCTCAGAGCAGCAGGAAGCCACTGACAGTGTTAAGCAGGAGTGGTGATGTAATTAAAAATCGCTGTGCTTGCTGCTGGCGTTGTTTGTAATAGGAGATTAAAATCAAATTCCACCAATATGGAGCGCTGGGTAAATAAATTTAGGTTCGTTCCTATAGCACACAGTGCTTAAAAGCTGTGAGACGTATCTATACATGCAGCTATAGAAGAAGTCACATGATTCCTTAAATAGGAAAAGAAGCAGATACAGTATAAAATCTTCTGACAAGGTATTTTAAAAAGAGGAGGGGTGTGTGCCTGTGTGTGTGAAACACACACATACACACACACACACACACACACTTCTGTGTGAAATACCACTGAAGAATCTGTAACAGTTGGCTTCTAGAGAGAATGGAGATACAGGGTGGCCAGGTTTCTGGAGTCAATTGCAGTGAATGTTTGTGGAAGCCTCCCCACACCAAGGAGCAACTCTGGGACACCAGCAGGGTGTGAGACAACTCAACCCTGACACTGTCTACCCAGAGATAATATCAGATTCCACGGGAAAAGAGCTCAGCCTCCAGCATTTCCCTCCTTTCTTCAGATACCAGGCCAGTCACAAGCCTGCTTGCTACCTGCACTTCTAAACAACCGGCTACGTGCTAGAGGTTCCTATAACCCTCTCTTTAGAGGTCAAGTGCCACTTACAGTTTATTTGTCTGTGCTTCGTGTCAACTAGCTGCAAGTCAGAGACTCTCAGGACCCCTTGCCAGGTTCAATTAATTTGCTACAGTGGATCACAGAAAAGTCTACAAGGTTACTAACTTATTAAAAGGATACTAAATTATATGACCAAACAACTAAATGAAGAGATGTAGAGTGAGGAGCTTGGGGTCCAGCAAGGTAGCCCTTGAAGTGCACTGTTCTCTAAGCTCCTCCTGTGAACACATAGGCCATTGACTTTGAACTCTGTCCCTACCCCCATACTGTTTCCTCCGTGAAGGCCTGGAGATGGGACTAGAGTTCCAATCCTCTAATCTTATGGTTGCTTCTCCTGGCAACCAATTCCCTTCCTTAGGCACTTTAAAATTTCACTACATTCACATGACAAAAGGCACTTGTGTTTTTTTTTTAAAGATTTATTTATTTGTGCTTACAGAATTGGGGTACAGGCCATAGGTATGGTGGGTGAGAGGATTTACCAGAGACAGAGTGGGGAACAGAACAGGCAGATGGACTGAAGTACACTACTGAGGGGAGAAGTGGGCAGGTCAGGAGAGAGCTCAGCTCCCTGACGAGGGATTGAATTCATGCAGCAGTGGCTTCTGAGAGCTTCATAGTGCAGTGCTTTAACCTGTTGTGCCACCAGGTTGAGCCCAGCACAAAAGACACTTTTATCTCTCAACTCTTAAGAAATGCCTACAGGGCTTCCCTAGTGGCCTAGGGGTTAAGTCTCAGCCCTAGGAAGCTATGAGCAGCCACTGCAGCAGTTCGCCTCCTGCCCAGGGAGCTGACCCACATGGCGCAGCAGACTTCTGTCTTAACTGCTGCTCCCCTCAGCAGTAGATTTCAATCAGTCTCCCTCTTCTGCTCCCCTCTGTGTCGCTGGTGAATCCTGTTACTCGCCCCCACCTGTACCTCTGGCCTGAATCCCAGCTCTTGTATGCATAAATAAATAAATCTTTAAAAAAAAAAAAAGCCTAGACAGGTTTTACTCATAGCAGGAATATAATGGACCAGGCGAGAAAATAACAAAAATAATGAACAACCATATACCAGA